ACAGAAATGTAAAAAAACAAAACGCATCTCATCTGCTCAAATCCTTAGAATCTCAGATTGCAAGGTGGCCCAAGCCCTACAGAGTCCATGACAAGAACCAAATCGCTCATGTGGTTATGAGTAGGTCAGAGTCCCATCTCATATATCCGCAACCTATAATGCCGGGATTGACAAACAGGTAGTGGTTGCATGAGATAAGACCTGCAGATTTGATTCCAGAAAAGGATTCGAACTCCAGATATGTGATATGTGTATTTATGCACGGTGTGTATACAAAGTTCTCACATGTCAATGTTCATTTTGCCTGTGCTCGTTACTTGTATTCCTGTGTTGATGCTTGCACGTTGAGCATGGCGGCCTTTGATGAGGCCTGAATCTCAGATCAGCTTTCTAACTGAATTGGTTTCTCTGGGAACTGCGTGTTCTTGGGGTTTTCTGTATTCTGATTATATAATTATATAATATATAACATACTATTGCATCTATTGCTATGGACTCCCTATACCAACCCCAACTATCCTCCATGTCCCATCTCATGTGCCGTGGAGCTATATAATGCTGTGCCATTGGCGTTGGGACCTTTCTGGGGGTTCTGCGTTCTGATTATAAAACATACTAGATTATCAGGGATTGCTATGGACTCCCTGTCATATACCAGCCCCTCATGGCCTCCAGGTCCCATCTCATGTGAGCTTGTTGGGTTAATATATACTGTATATATATACGTTTCTGCATTCAGATTCTGTAACATACTAGGAGGCCAGTTCGGGCGTAGAGGATGCCGACGGCGAGCTCTCTGAAGAAGATTTGGATTTGGATTCAATGGTTGCTTCAATGACCCATGGCGGTCCTGATGCAGTCAAACCCCCAGAAGCGGCAAAAGCAGTGCATCGCACCAAACAGTATCATAATTCGGAGGAGTACATCAAATTGAAGAATTTGTCTGATGAGCGCCAGATTGAATTGTACAGGATACCTCCAGTAGTTGGCTGTGGCGTCTTCCGTCATACAAGCAGCCAATTCTGGTCGTGTCGCTATTCATCTAGTTCAACATGGTCTACTTGTTCCTGGAAGTCTGGAGCTAGGACCCCGTTCCAGTGCTTGGTCAAGGTGTTGAAGCATCTGATCAAAGAGCACATACTGCACGCACCGTCAGATGTGATTTCTTGGAAGTCTCAGCTGGCAGCACTAGAGACGCTTTAGAGCATGGGATCGGGAGAATGTGAGGATGAAAACGAAAGGCGGCGGCGTTTTGTGAGGATGAGAATGAAGGGAGTCCCATGTCATCTGTTCTTTTTTGATTCATACCACCCATATACCATTCAAAAAAAACACAAGAAACATGCATCTCATGTGTTCCCGGCATTTGTCACCTTCTCAAGGTATGTATCTCATGTGCATACAGTGCGTCCCAAAACTGACCATAAAGTCCTGTGTCATCTGTACCTAGTATAGTTCAACTTGTTGGGATCGTGGCACAAGCTTGAAACGACCTCCTGTTAAGATTGATCCCAGATTTCTTGAGTCAACGATACAATTCCAAGGCACTTCAAGTCTCCACAACCACCACAATCGCGTGGGAGAAGTAGTTTCATGGGTGCCTCTGGTGCAACATCGGTCATCACCACGACTAAATCAAATCTTCTTCTTCAACGTGAAGACAAATGAAAACAACGAAGCACCTCAATGCCCTTGGCTACAGACACCATGACATTTGCACCGAAAAGCGGCTTGCTGAGAAACACCCAGAACCTCAATCTCCCAAGGTAGCATTGAAACCAGCTGCATGAAGCCTTCGTACAAAGTGCTCTGTGTCCAATGCAGCCCCTGTGCACATCATACAGGAATAGGCCAGCAAGAAGAACAACTCCAGTTCGAAAGCTTGACAAATTCACGTACCTTGCAGCATTGGAAGCATACACTATCCAACTTGGACAGAGTTCCAAAAATAGCACAGGTGATCTCAGTGTGCCTGATGCCCATCAAACAGAATGACAAGCCCATGATGTTATTCAACATCCAATGTTTTGAAATTGCCTCAGTGCAGCACATCCGTGTCAATTACAGCCATCACATCTATCACAGAAACGAAGGCTCGCTTCCAGAAACAACGCACTTCTCAACTCAACCACATTGGAAGCCGAGTTGCATAAGCCAAGGCCATCCCAAAGCCTGGAATGAATTTCAAGAGTGTTGTGAAGGTTGATGTCGGCTCTGCCTGCCCTGGAGCACCTGAGGCGGACAAGCCTTCACATTCTACCTGACGGCCTGAGGCTTGGGACAATTCCTGGAACCTATGGTATGTGTCATGCAACTTTGCTAGGCGTTCCTTGACTTCCAACAGAAAAAATGGTGTATATATAAATGCAAGCGAATTCATTGCTGTCAGTCTGCAGTCTCGATGCTTCTGCGACTAGACATGTTTGAGCAAGTGGCCAAAAACTTGCCATAATTCTTCTGCATTATCTCCGACACCAATGGCACATGTGCTCAGGATGCACACTTGCAGAATCTCTTTCAACCAGTCGATGCCTGAGAATTTGGGGTCCACCCCGACGAAAAGGGCTTGAAAGCTGGTTTAGTTTGCTTGCAGTCTGCAATGCTGGTTCACAGTCACAGTCCGTCTTCGCTGAAGGGCTCAAATATTTTAAGCCAAGGAAAATGGCAAATAAGAATCCTTCACGCTGGCCAAAGTCCACCACACAGCAGCAAAGCAGCTACAAACACCATGTTCATCATTTACCTCATGGAGCTCTAGTGATCGATGAAACACCAACGATGTGTCCTGATCCTATCAGTGGAAGCCAGTATGCATCCTGACAAGCACAACAACGAGCATCTTGCAAAAAGTTTTGTACATATAGAGAGAGAGAGAGGAAAAAAAAAACAAGATAGAGAGAGAGAGAGAGAGTCCTATATAAATAAATATGCATATATATGTATATGTATAAACAGTCCTGCCTGTCAAACCTGTGCCAATGCTTGGCGCCAAAGACGAAGGGTGCGTAGTACTTACTCCCTGCACTACGGCCACAACAGCTGTCCCGTGACCTGGAAAATCACGAGAGTTCCCTTGAAGGTCAAGCGCCTCTTGCTCCAACGTGTGTGTGCTTCTTTGCGTCGCAGCTGGCTCTGTCAGCGTCCACAAGCTGTGCTTGGATGCTGTCAACCTGCGTCACAAGAATGCGTTTCCAATCTCAAACCACATGAAACAGTTCCCAGTCAAGCCAGGTAACACGCAAAGAGATGCTAGAACTACCATATGTAGAGAAGATTGAAAGCTCTTCCTCAGAACAAATCAGGGACACTGACGTGCTGCACATGTATGTCATGCTTCCCTAAGTTAGTGGGCTTCGACATTAACTTGGGAAGCGATTGTCCTTAAGAATTTCATCCACAAAACTCCCTTTGGAAAAGGAACTAGAACAGAAACAATAGTGACAAGTGGATATATAATGATAAGGAATTGGCCTTCCTCAGAAAGGGTCTAAACTCTAACAAAAGCAAACCCAGCTAGAACTTATCTGGCATGCCGCATGGGCCACAAGGCAAACTTAAGAAAGCAAGCGACAAAAGCAAAAGCCAAAAGACTGCCAAAAGCCACCGAACCCAAAGCCACCAAAGAATGCCAAAATGCAGCAAAAGCAAGCAGAAGCCACCAACAGGCACCTGGATAAAGTACTATCAAACACAAAATGCAAAAAAGAAAGCAATTCCCGAATAGAAGCCTAAGCTAGCAGGATGTTCTTTTTCAGCAGCAATTTCACAGGGTCCTACCCCACCATCTTCAGCATGCCACCACGTGAGGTTGTCTTCTTTCTGCTGCATTCGAGATTTCTCAAGCCACTCCTGAGTTGAGCACAGTCAAACCTGCAAGTCAGACAACCTCACAGTTTGACGCCTAGCATCTGGATTTTGCGGATGACCAGGAAGGAACGGCCCACCGGCCGGAACATGTGCAATCCTCAGGAAATGACGGACTCCTTACATGGCGGGCCAGGGCAAATTCCGCTGCGGCCAAGCGTCTTGACCCATGTATCGTTCACCCGGTGCTCCCCAAAATGCGGGTGGCACTTTGGAAACGGCCCTGCAAAGCAGGCAAACAAGCCAAGGCTACCCCACTCCAAGCCCTACAAGCACTCAAAACCCTTACCTAGCTCCAGTGGATCAAAATGGCTGATATTGATCAATCGACCATCACGCAGCTCAAAATGGCCCGTGGGAATTTGATGTCTCATCATCTCCTAGGACGAGCAAGCCGACATTGCAGCAACTGTCGGGCTAACACATGAATCTACATTCTGATCTTGTCCAAAGATTTGTGTCGAAGGAGCAGCCACTGCAGCAAATGCGGAGATTCCAATCCCAAGACTGCCTGCATGATCTGCATGATCTGCATACAGCTTCGTTGACAAACAACATGTCCACTCACAATGGGAGATCCAACCAAGCCCAAGACCATAAAGTCTTAACAAGCTGGACTGCAGACCTCAAAGCCGAACAAGAATTAATGCTCTGATTCCTAAGTCAAAAATTGCCTGCCAAGACTCCCGAAGGTCTGGGAATCTTTTTGGCTTCTGCTTTCAACTTGGCAAGAGCTGGGTCGCTCAATCCATTGGGCTTTTTGTGTGGGGGTGCACGCGCCTTTTGACTTTGACGACTGGCTTTCTCTCCACTTTCCTTTGATTCCTGAAATAAACTTTGGATCACAACTTTTGGATTGCCGACTGCAAAGCCAACATATCAAGTACTGTTTTCCAAACTGTCTCCTTTGTGCAAGGTTTTGGCTTTGGTGAACTTGTTCTGCATGAAGTTGGCATTGCTGGGGAAGTTGCTCCAACATGTAAACGGTAAAATATATCTAGGTCCTAGGTTGCCTTGCTGTGAAATGAAACCCATTTAAAAAGTAAAATAGAAGAAAACTGCATGACAAGGAGTCAAGGAGTCTGCACTTTTCTCACCAACAATTTTGAGCCTTGCGATCTGGCTGCTGAACTGGAGTACTAACTTCATGAATGCTCGATGCTCTGCCCACGGAATCAGAACGTGACAGCAGCAAATCTTGCTTCATGTATATATTCTATTCTAATCTCCAAATGTGATTGATTCCAACCAAGCAGCTACAGTAAGTGTGCCTCTTTTACAACGCTGACTCATCCCTTGACATGGTGGTCATAGCCCTTCTCTCTGTTTGTTCCCTTCTCTCTTTCCAATGCCACAACTGGCACAAACAAATGCATGGGAAAATCAGTATTGTGGCTGCAACGAGAGGCCGTGAGGTCAGCAAGTACAGCCCAACTAGATTCACGGCACTCTGCACCAAGGTGCTCAAGGCCATCACCGTTCCGAACTGATCTGGTGCATATTTGCGAGCAATGTATGTGAATTGGAGCGTGTATGTGACGGCTTGCAGCCAGTTGAGTGACAGTAGTGTCAACCATTGCCAAGCTAGAGGTAAAAGCACCAGTGACAGAACTGATGCCAGAACTGCCACGCAAAGCAAGTGGATAGCAGGCACAAAGCCCCAGGAATCTATTAGCGCCCCAATGCCTGGTGTAAAAAAGAACGTTGCATTTGATAAGAATGGCATCCACGCAACCAAAGGCTTTGTGGCCACAGGGCTCTGTGCTTCTGCTTCCGCCTTCTTGCTCACCTCTCCGAGGAAGGCACCAGTGCACCAACCGCCGGACGTGGCCCCCCAAGCAAATGACAGCAAAAACAACCACGTTCGCAATTTTCCAAGATGGCTGCAACATTGCAAGCCGATGGCTCTGCCAGTTCTGGCGCTGGAATCTTTGCAGCACTTGGGCAAGCTGGGCCAGGTACAGCGACCAAGCCGTTGGGGGCCGTAGGGTTCATCTGGGTAGCACAGCAATGTCAAGCAAAGCCCTGCCAATAATGGCAAAATGTTGACGCGACATTGCTAACATTAATGATTATATTGTGTGTGTGCGTGTGTGTGT